TCTCTGTAGCTAGGGCAAAAGGTCAGGGGCGTGACTTCTGATTGGCCCTTCCCTGAGTGAGGTGTTCATGACTTCTAATTGGCCCTCCCCTGTGGGGTGAGGAGTTCATGACTTCTGATTGGCCCTCCACTGTGGGGGTGAGGAGTTCATGACTTCTGATTGGCCCTCCACTGTGGGGGTGAGGAGTTCATGACTTCTGATTGGCCCTCCCCTGTGGGGGTGAGGAGTTCATGACTTCTGATTGGCCCTTCCCTGAGTGAGGTGTTCATGACTTCTGATTGGCCCTCCACTGTGGGGTGAGGAGTTCATGACTTCTGATTGGCCCTCCCCTGTGGGGGTGAGGAGTTCATGACTTCTGATTGGCCCTTCCCTGTGGGGTGAAGAGTTCATGACTTCTGATTGGCCCTCCCCTGTGGGGTGAGGAGTTCATGTCTCTCTCTGTAGCTAGGGCAAAAGGCCAGGGGCAGTCTGGAGTCGGGGGCGGGGGGGGGGGGGGGTCCTGCTTGGGCCCTTTTGCTGTGGCTGCAGTTCTGCTGAGGCCTGGGTCTCTCACTTCCATGAAAAAGTCCTTCTATATCACAATACCATGTTCAGTGAACATACACAAGGAAAGGTTTTCTAGAAGGTGACTGGCCTGGCCTTGGAATTCTGGTTGATAATGAAGCAGGAAGAGACCCTAAGAGGGAGGGGAAGCTGGAGATACAGAGCTGGCAGGTGAAAGGGGTTTTGGACTTGGGGGCCTAGAAGTAGCGGTCTGGAGAAACAGGAGGTCGAAGAATTGCTTGAGGAGCTGGAGAGACGGTTTTAGTGGTTAAGAGCAATAACTGCTCTTGCGGAAGACTGGTTTCCAGCACCCACATCTGTCAGCTCACAACCGCCTGCCTGTAACTACAGCCCCAGGGGATGTGACACCCTCTTCCAGCCTTGGGTACTCCTGCACATGTGTGCACATGCACACACACACACACACACACACACACACACACACACACACAAGCACATAGACACACACACTAGCACACACAAAAAGTTAAAAAAAAATCTTCATTTTAAAAATGCTTGAAATTGATGACTAGAGGAGGCACGGATGAGGGCAATCCGAAATCCAGCCTGAGGTACTGGGAAGGACCAGGTGACTGTGAAGCTCAGACTCATAGAGGCCATGGGGCAAGAAGTGTGGACACTGTAGACAGAAGGCCACCAAGAATCTCTGGAAGGGGGGACGGCGACTTGCACGTTAATATCCTTGGGGAAGAAGGCTGGCATGGGGCCGTCAATGGAAAGGGGTGTGAGTGGGAAACCTGACAGCGTGACAGCCAGAGCAAAGGAGTCGGGGTGTCAGGTACAATCAGGAGCACACGCGCTTCCCCACCTGTCCCGGCTAATTTTATGTCAACTTGACACCAGCTAGTCACCTGAGAGAAGGGAATTCCAGCTGAGAAAATCCCTCCAGAAGATATGGCCGTAGACAAGCCTGCAGAACATTTCCTTCATTAGGGATCCATGGTGGGTGGAGCCATCCCTGGGCAGGTGGTCCTGGGTTCTATTAGAGAGCAGGCTGAGCAAGCCATGGGGAGCAAGCCAGTAAGCAGCACCCCTCCATGGCCTCTGCGTCAGCTCCTGCCTCCAGGTTCCTGCCCTGCCTGAGCTCCTGTCCTGACTTTCTTCAGTGGTGAACTGTGATGTGGAAGTGTAAACCCTTTCCTCCCCCAGTTGCTTTGGTCATGGTGTCTCGTCACAGCACCAGTGACCCTCAGACACCCGCCCTCACTAGCCCACATTTCATTTCTGTCCGTTCATCAGCCTTCCACTGCCTGGGAAAGCGGCACTGCCCACACCCTAAGCCTGGCCTGCTCAGACCTAGTCCAGACACCTGCCTTCCAGAACTGGAGAAGCGGCTGTGTGGTGTGGAGCTTTGTCAGGGCAGAAACCGCTCAGGACCGAAAAAGACCAAGTGTTCACGCTCTCGACACTTACAAGAGCCAGTGCACAGGCCACCCCCCGCCCCCACCCCCCGCCAGATGTGCTCAAAATAGTGCAGAACCCAGCTTCCACGGCAGTCCGTCACGGTGGACCTGCACACCTGCGCGGCCTGCCGCTTCAGCTGCCCTGAGAGAAGAGGGCAGCGGGCAAGCGGCAGAGATGGGAGTGGGGAGAAGTGTGGGGTTTGGGGCGGCACTACCAGGCACTCCCAACCTCTTGATATTGTCGTCTACAGAGTTTGATGGAGAAAGGTAAAACCAAGTTTTTGGGGGCTTTGTTGTTGTTTTAAATGACAAACAAGGGGGCTGGAGAGATGGCTCAGAGGTTAAGAGCACTGGTTGCTCTTCCAGAGGTCCTGAGTTCAATTCCCAGCAACCACATGGTGGCTCACAACCATCTGTAATGAGATCTGGTGCCCTCTTCTGACCTGTAGTCATACATGCTGTATACAAAATAAATAAATCTTTAAAAAAAAAAAAAAAAAAAATGACAAACAAAAAAAAATCAAAATGTTTTAAGTAAGTTTACAATTTCTTTTTTTGTTTTTTGTTTTTTGGGTTTTTTTGTTTTTTTGGTTTTTTTTTTAACTATATTGGTCATTTTATTGATATTCTGTTTTTTGCTTTTTGTTTTTCGAGACAGGGTTTCTCTGTGTAGCTGTGCGCCTTTCCTGGAGTTCGCTCTGTAGACCAGGCTGGCCTTGAACTCACAGAGATCCGCCTGCCTCTGCCTCCTGAGTGCTGGAATTAAAGGCGTGCACCACCACCGCCCGGCTGTAAGTTTACAATTTCGCATCGGGTCCCACACAGAGCTATCCAGGCCACATGTGGCCTGGGTGTGAGGGCTGGGCCCCTCTGCCTCTAGTCCTGCTTAGGACCCCCCTATGTTCTGGGACCTTTCCCCATTTCCTTCTCTCCCTTGAGAATCAATAAAGAAATCTCGTCTTCCATTTTCTTTCTTTTAAAAACTTATTATTTTTCATTTTATCTATTTGTGTGTGTGTGTGTGTGTGTGTGTGTGTGTGTGTGTGTGTGTGTGTGTGGTTGTGGTGGTGGTGTATATCGGTACCTGATGGCGGTCAGAGATCAACTTGGGGAAGTCAGCTCTCTCCTTCCGCCATGTGGGGCCTGAGGCTGGAAGTCTGCTCACCGCTCAGCAAGCGCCTTTACTTGCCGGCATCTGGCTGGTCCTTGTCCTCTGTGTTCTGAGCTGAGCTTGTCTTATGGTTAAAGGGCTCTGGCCCATCTGTTTAAAGCCTGTTTAGTTGTATCCGACTCCATTCCTCATTTCAATCACTTTGAAGCTGGAAAATTCATTTTGTTGCTGTTGTTGAGACAGGGTCTCACTATGTAGCCCAGGCTGGCCTCGAACTCACCGAGATCCACCTGCCTCTACCTCCCAAGTGCTGAGGTTACAGGTGTGCACCACTAAACCTAGTCTGGAAATTCCCATTTTTAGTGGTAATCCTCCTTCCTCCCCTCCTCCTCTCTCCCCCTCCTCTTAGCCATTGTTACTGTGAGGTCAAGTACTCAGTTGTTTCAGGAGATGGAGTCTGCTCTTCTCTCTGAAGGGGTCTCACTGGCAGTTCTAGAAGCTACAGACCATGGGCTCCATGTACCCCAAGAAGAGTCCTCAAGAATGGCCTTTCCAAACCCACCGCCTGGAAAAGATCCCCCACGTTTTTTAGCTCGTTGGTGAATGCACACACCGAAGGCCTCTTCTCCATCGGCTGCAGCTCAGGACCCTGCCCTTAAGAATCCCACAGACTGCCTTTTCCTCCTGTGGAAATCCTTCTGTGTCCCCATACCCAGCCGTCTCGACCCAACCCTCCCTGGGATGATTTCTTTCCCCATCCCAGGGTCACGCAGAGTGGGGCTCTGGGAAATTTAGTGGAGGACTCTGGGAGAGAAGAAAGCCAGAGCGAGAAGGGAGAGCATCGGGCTCTCTCCACAGCACCTTTCACAGGCACGCCGGCACTCGCTCTCCCCTCCCTTACAGCAGGGGTAGTGTTTGAATCCGCGGCTCACATCACCCCATCACCCGTGGTGCCCCCTCCAGCTCCTAGGCTAACTCACAAGGGTGCGCACACCTGCCCCTGCCAGCACACCCTCTTCCTGCTCATTCTGATCACAGCCTGGGCTGTCACCAAGTGCTGACAGGAGTCAGTTCCTCCCACTCACTGCCAAGCAGAGATCGATGAATGGTGGAGTGGAGAGCGGAGAAGAAAAGAAAAGAAAGTGGCCTCTGGACCCAGATGTTCCCCACCCCCACAGGGCACCTCTGGACCCAGATGTTCCCCACCCCCACAGCGGACCCCTGCCCTTTTTCCTCTTGAAAGTAGGTTTAGTCAAACAGAGAGTTTCTGGTGGGGAAGGTTGGTTAGGAGAGCCCATGGATCCTTTCTCTGGCTCATATGACTCGGTGCCTATCAAAATGTGGAGCCCTGAGCCTGATGCCCCCTGGGAAACAGTGGAAGGTTCTGAAGGCATCCCCGATTAAACGCAGCTGCCCAGGGCCTGAAGCCCTGCTCTGGCAGACACAGCCTGTGGGCTCAGGGGAGCCTGATTCCTCTCCTCCACGCCAGGGCTGTGTCTCCTTAAAAGGAGTCTGGTGTCTACTTCTCCACAGCCATGAGGTCCAGGCGCTGTTCACTTCTGGAGCGGAGACTGAGGAGCAGAGATCGGGAGACTGGCAGACTTGTGAGAAAATGGGGTGCAACGATGTGATGTAGCCATGGGTCCAGCCTTAACTCTACCTAGATGTCTGAGGCCAGGCCCTGTGTCCTGAAGTTGGGCAGGTGCTGGAAGGGATCTAGGGGTAAGGGGATGTTTGTTATTACTTTTCCAAGTGAGAAATCAGTCACAGGGAGAGCTGGAAAACCTCAAGATCCCTTCCTCTGGGGAGAGGGGGCCAAATCATCATGTCATGTTCTTCCTCCCACCCCCCAGTGCTGAGGTTTGAACCTGGGTCTGTGCACATGCTACGGAAGTACTCAATCACAGAGCTACATCTCCAGCTTGCTTTTTACTTTTTATTTTGAGACAGGAGCATGCTAAATTGGCCCAGCTAGCCTTAAAGTCACTCTGGCCCAGACAAGCTTTGAGCTTCTGATCCTCTTGTGCGGCCTTCTGAGTGGCAAGGATTACAGGCTGCCTGGCCCCATTGCCTCTTAGCAAACAGCCTGCTCCTGTTCAACCCCATGCTCTTGCTCCCGATCCGCCAGAATGCTGCTGAGCATAGCGGATTAGCAGGCTTCTGTGTCAATCCCAGACTCATTGTCCACACTCACACTGGAGCCAAGGGACAGCAGAAGGATGCCCTGGGGCCAGCCTCACACGTATCATGCTCTTCATCAACACTGCTTGGCCACCACAGTGTGCAGGTGTGGGAGGTGCTGGGAAGGACCCTTGTGCACCCATTTGTGAACAGAGATCCTTGCATTCTGCAAGCAGGTGGGTGGCCAGAGTTTGGCTATGAAGAGATGGGGGCCAGGCAGTTCTCTTCACATCCTGGTTTCTGTTACACTCCGCAGGTGCTTTCCAGAGGAAGTCTGGGGACACAGAGTGAGCTGGCTCACTCCCACCTCATCCCCATGGTGGTCTAGCCTGGGCCAGAAGGGGAGGGCCCGGGTACAAGAAGATGTGCAGAACTTGGTGCCAATCCCCCAGGGAAGGCCGTAGATCTTCGAGGCCTTCGAAGTTTCCTCAGAATCCTCCTGGATTTGATTCCATGCCAAGAGGCCTCTCTCCTCCAGGGTGCCTGAGAAGCAGACAGTAAGAAGTCAAGGCAGCCCCCTGCTTTTCCTTCCACATGCGCCCCTTACAAGCCTTGGCAGGAACCATGGATCCCCTCCGCTTGTTAAACAATCTCAGAGCCCCAACTCATGTGGTCCCCAGCCTCGGGCTCAACCATGGAACCTCAGGGCTCCCCTTGGCACATAAGAGCAGACCTGTCCATGTGTGTTTGTGGCCTGCAGGCACACTTTATGTTTGGTGGGGAGTACAGTGTGGAAAACAGAATGCATGAAGCAGGTGTAGTCACAGAAGTCCTTAGGAGAGGCTGGGGAGGGCAAGAAGAGAAAGGTGGGTGTGGACGTCTCCCCAGAATCCACAGCGATGGGACCTCTATGCTCTTCATGCCTGCACCCTGGGTCAGCTCATCCCAGGCCTCACTATCACCCCCTCACTTGTCTGTTTTCCTTTCTGTCTCCTCTATTAGCCTGTGCATTGGGGAAGGCTGAGACATATCTCTGTATTTTCAGTGAGTGGCATCTGCTACATACTTAGTGGATAGTTAGAAATATGAATGGATGAATGAGTGAATATGTGTGTGGCTTCCCCCATCAATTAATTATATTATAGGTTCAAGACAGCCATGGCTATCTCCTTTTCCAATTGTGTCTGGTGTCTCATTCATTTTAGGGCCCTGCTATGGCTGACCTGTAGCCCTTGAAAAGTCATACATGGATAGCCTAATCTTGGGGGTGTCAGTATTTGCCAATAATGTTTAAAGAGCTAAAGATGTTGTAAACGGACATTTCCTGTCCTGACTGTCAGTTCCCAAATAACCACTCAAAGGCTGAATATGAATTATAACTGCTTGGCCAATAGCTCAGGCTTATTACTAGCTAGCTCTTGCATTTAAATTAACCCATTTCTATTAACCTATGCATTGCCATGTGGCTCGTGGCTTTACCTGTCCTCTAGCATCCTGCTTCCCTGGTGGCTGGCATCTCTTCAACTCTGCCCTTCTCCCCCCACCCCCCAGCATTTTCAGTTTGGTTTTCCTACTTAGCCTTATTCTGCCTTGCTATAGGCCAATCAGCTTTTTTATTAACCAATGAGACTAATACATATTCAAAGTGTATAGAAGGATTCTCCCACAGCAAGAAGTTACAAGGAGTCTGTGGTTAGAGCTCCAGTCTGCCTGGGCTGGCATGGAGCTCACAGTGTAGCTGAGGATGACCTGGAACTCCTGATTTTCCAGCCCCCATCTCTCCAGCACTGGGACTACAGGTGTGCATCACAACTTACGCACTGGCGTAGACGGCGCTAAGGCTCTGCATCTAGACAAGCCTCTACCAGCTGAGCCGCATCCCACCCGGCCCTGTCTTCTTTACACAAAAGGAGATTATGACACACAGAGAGACCACAGGAATATGCCAGCACAGAGCAAAGGCAATGTGAGGACACCCTCTGCAAGCCAAGGAGGAAGGTCCTGTGAGGAACGAGCCTGCCTCAGATTCCAGCTTGGGGGCCTGAGAGAAGAATGTGTCATTTTGCTCGCCCTGGTCTGTGATGTTTTCCTGCAGCAGCTCAAGCGGACTAGTGGAGGCCATGTCTTATCCCGACCCCAGCCTCAGGGCCCGTTTGGGGTGTGCTGTGAGCAGGCCTGACAGGAGCTCTCCCAGTGGCCCCGTCGCTGCCCACATGCCCACAAGCCCAGCTTCAGGGGGCTGCAGCCTTACCAGGGATGGTGTTGTCCAAGACAAAGCCCAGGAATCCACCGACAAACATGCCTGTGGTCAGGAGCACCTGGATGACCTGGTCCAGCTGGAGAACCCCTGGAATGAGACAAAAGTGACGGTTCATGGGGACCACGGGCCGCCCTGCTTCACACCCATAGCAGTGACAGTCCAGGGGAGACAGGACTCACCTGTCCGCAACTTCTCAGGGTTCTCGTTCACCCAGTTGGGGATGGCCAGCCCACAGTAGATGGAGAAGCCAAACACAAAGAGGTTCCTGGATGAATTCATGTCCACGTACTGTGGGAGAAGGGGTTCCCGAGTTCAGCAGGCCCACAGATGCCTTTACACATGTGCACTGTGGCTGGTTTGGGAGGTGGGATGCAGTTGGCTGTTTCTTTCTTGTATTGGGCGTTCAGTGTGTCTCCTAGCACCATAGGCCCCCTCCTCTCCCTCCCCCTCCCCCCTTGCTCTCCCCCCTCCTCTCCCCCTCTCCTCCCCCTCCTTCTCCCTCTCCCATGCAGCCCATCCCTGGGGCTCCTCTCAGGTCGGGTGGCACTGTTGCTCACTGAGGTGCCTCACCTGCAGGTTGGAGATCCCCACAGCGCTGATGACACCGAACATGACAAGGAACATGCCTCCGATCACCGGGGTGGGGATGGTAGCGAATGCTGCCCCAATCTTCCCAAACATGCCCATCAGGAGCAGCACGCAGCCTGCAGTCACAATCACCAGCCTGCTCCCGACCTGCACACCCAGAGAGAAGGGATAGGAGCACCAGGACAGACAGACGCCCCGGAAACCCGCTCCTTCATCCTTCACACTGCTGTCGTGAGAGCCTGCAGAACCGGCATCATGTATGCTAAAACTGCCCCCCCCCATGCTCCCACACTGAGCTAGGCAGAGATGAAGGAGGAACTCAGGTCCTGGCTTCAGCCCTCATCTCTCTGGCCTGCCTCTCTCACACCTGTTGGGTACATTACTAACCTCTCTGAAAGTCAGTCAGCCTCCACAGCTACCACAAGAGATTAGGGATACCACACAATTCAATAGGATAAGGCCTGTGAATGTTTGGAGTAATATGCGTTGGGCACATGGAATGCTGGATAAGGGGAAATGGCAGGGGACAGAGGCACAAGGCTCTTCTGCAGCATAGCGCCCCTCCGAATGTTGCTTATGCTTGGCCCACTAGGAAGGAAGGTTTCTGTCTCCCTACCACATCACTTGCTCCTCCAAAGACGTGAATCTCATTACAACATCCACACCTACTCCTTGTCCACAGCACCATGTGGATACCTGGTACCAGGGACACTGGTCACAAAAGGCCAGGGCAGGAAGGAAAGAAAGAGGATGCCTTGCACACACCTCTCATTCTGTAGAAGAGAAAACTAAAGAGAGGCGCCCAAGGCCACGTGGGAGCCCCGTGCCACGCCAGGGTCTCCAGCGCCCAGCAGAGCCATCGGGTTTTATCCACAGCACTGCACATTCACAGCTGTCTAGGTGTGTGGCTTACTCAATGTCCACCTCCATTCCCACGTCATCTGGTGCTTCGTAAGTGGGGCGTCTATGCTCGCGGCAGGAGAGACACGTGACAAACAGGAAGTCTCACGAAGGGAACAGGAAACACCCAACAGCAGCCCACGGTGTGTTCTGAAGAGTCATGGGACAGTGGCCACTGAGGGAGGCTCTATGGGGGCTGGCTAGTCTGGCCAGCGGGGACAAGTCAACCAATATACAAGAAAAGAAGGGAAGAGAGAGCGTCATGCACAGAAAGGTTTGGCGGAAGACTATTCTAGAGAGAAAGTGGCATACGTGAACTCTGTGGTGGGAAAAGCCTGGGTCGTTTGGAAGCACAAGGAAAATCAATGTGCCTGGGCTGCGGTGCCCGGGACAGTGGTGGGAACCCAGAGCAAGGGATGGGCTCCATCCTTCAGGGCCCTGGGGGCAGGGAGGGGCAGAAACAAAATGTGGCACAGCCATACAGTGAGGTATCATTCGGTCCCCAAAGGCAGTACGTCTGACACCTGCTGAGCCTTGTGGTGCTTTAAGTGAAAACTGTCCCCAGAGGGTCACACATTAAACGCTTGCTTCCCTACTGGGCATGCCCTCTGGAGAGGTTATGGAGCACTTAGGAGCCGAAGGATCGCCAGAGACAGGGTGGGCTTTGAGGGTTTACAGCCTTGGTGTCCTTCCTGAACTTGTTTGCTCTCTCTTTTCCTGCCCTCCCCTCCCTCCCTCTCTCCCTCTCTCCTGTGAGTGGTTAAAATGTGATCAGCCAGTTCCTTGCCCTGGCCTCCATGCCATGCCTCCCTGGTCACGAGGGCTCTGTCGCGCTGGGACCAGAGGTTAAAAGAAGCCCCTTCTTCCTGAAGTTGCTTTTGGTCGTAGCATTTTATTGAGACACAAGCCCGTCACAAAAAGTCAGACAATAGGTCTCCATTCACACGAGGTCTCCAGGATCCTCCAAGGCATGAAGATGGGAAGCAGGAAAGGTTGCCAGGGATGGTGTGTGTGGGGGAGCTGGGGGCGGGAACAGAGAAGAGGATGGGGGAGGGGCAGGAAAGGGGGAAGAGAAACCAGGAGTAGAGAGGATGAGAAAAGGGTTGGATGAGGAGTTGGGAGTCCTTCAGGGGGGAGAAGGATGGACAGTGCCAAGGGTGGCACAACAGTGCCAGTGTGCTATGCCCAGCGCTGCGGCCACACTGATCCCAGCATTCGCGAGACTGAGGCAGGAGGTGCAGACATTTGAGGCTATATGCTATGGGACGTCTTTCTGTACGCTGTGAATATATGTTGTTCCCATTGGTTAATAAATAAGCTGCTTTGGCCTATGGTAAGGCAGCTTAGAGGCAGGTGGGAAATCCAAGGAGAGAGACAGGAAAGAGAAAGGCGGAGTCTGAGGAGATGCCAGGCTGTTGCCCAAGGAGCAACATGCCAGCAGACCGGTAAGCCATGGAACACACTGCAAAACATAGATTACTAGAAATGGGTTAATTTAAGATATAAGAGCTAGCTAGCAAGTGGCCTGCCATAGGTCATATAGTTTGTAAATAATATTAAGCCTCTGAGTGATTATTTTATAAGTGGCTGTGGGACCGCGGGTCCAGGTGGGACCAGAGAAAATGTTCGACTACAGCTACATAATGAAATCCATTATCAAAGCAATGGAGGGAAATAATGTCAAAGCATACTATATGTGCATGGAATTGTGTATAATAAATGAATTAAAATATAATATAAATAATTAAAAAAACTACCACACTAACTGTTTAGAAATGGTTATAATGGTAAGTCTCATGTAATACGTCTTTTATTACAGTAAAAATAAAGGCAAGCGAAAGCTTCATTCCCTTCACTAGAGGTTTTTAAAGCAAAGTGGTGACGTGATGTGATTCACATTCTAACAGCTTCCTCCAGGACAGGCATGTGTTATAATTACTCAGTAAGCGATTGCTACAGAACATGGTGAACTTTGACTTCTCCTTTGTCTGTGTGGAGGTTCACTTAACATCCAAAACTTGTCTCACACATCATTGGCTGTTTCGATCCAGAACCTTAAAAGAGACTCCCCTAGTTCAGTGGTTCTCAGCCTTCCTAATGCTGCGACCCTTTAATACAGTTCTTTATGCTGTGGTGACCCCCAACTGTAAATTATTTTTGTTGCTACTTCATAACTAATTTTGCTACTGTTAGGAATCGTAATGTAAATATCTGTGTTTTCTGATGCTTTTAGGAGAACCCTGTGAAAGGGTCATTCCATCTCCTAGAGGGGTTGTGCCCCACAAGTTGAGAACCAGCTGCCCTAGTTCATTTCAATAGAGGACTGGTTATTGGAATGGAACCTGCTTCAGAATACACACACAGGCACATAGACACACACACACACACACACACACACACACACACACACACACACACACACACACACACGGGAAAGAACCAATTGTTGCAATACCTGAAAAGGCCACAAGAGGGAGTGTGAGCCCATTAAAAACCAAGTGGCCTTTGCACGTTTCTCTCAGGGTTAATCTAACTTCCCTGTTGAGCCCTAGCTTGCCCTGTGCCTGTGGGTCTTTACTCCCTGCTCTTTTCATCTCCCCTAAAAGGCCTCAGCTTAGAGACTATGTCCACAGAAATTTGTTTTGTGTATGGAATGTAATTTTCTGTTCTTCAGGGGACTTGTTTCCTTTAACGGGAAGGAAACGGTTTGCTGAACTTAGACAGCCCCCTGCTACATTTCTAGTGCACTCACGGCCTTGGGAAAGTATCAAAGGCTCCAGAGTGTCCAGAGAGCCAGAAGCTGCTGTGGAGGTGACTCTGGTGGGGATTTGGTTGGGGATTTCAGCTCCAGCGGTGGCAGAGGGTTTCGGATTGAAGGTACAGTGCCTCCAGGCTGCACCCTGGAGCCACCGAGGGAGCCATAGATAATTCAAGTTGGGACACTGCAGGGAGAGGGCCGTATAATTTCCCCGAGCTCACAAAACCCCTGCAAAGATGCATTGAAATGTGGTGGGCAGCACAATGCTCCTGTTTCAACATCATTTAGAAACACCATCCTGAGGATTCCTTCCTGGGCTCCCTAGCAGGAAGGGGGGTGGTGCTTGAAGAGACGTTAGGCAGAGACTAGTCAAAATTGAGTTCTAGAAACCAGACAGACAAGTCATGGATGGAATAGAGATGAGCACGATCCTGGGAAGAGACAATGCTGAGGTCCTGCTGTGCAGGGGACAGTCAGTCTGCCGCACCGGGAAGGGAGGGAGCAAAGGGGATGTGCATGGAGCCCTGTGGAGAAAGTAGAACCCAGCGGAAAGTCTAAGGACAGCCAGTAGTTAGAGATGGCCTGAGTGGCAGAGGGGTTCACTAGGACAGGGACTGCAGAAAAACGGAGCATATGTACGTTTCAGAGGTCTCCAGACGTCAGGGGCCCTGGGGACCTGACCTGGGTCTGGCTAGGGGCAGCTGAATATTCCGGGCTGGGCTAAAGGCAATGGGTGTCCACCACAACCAAAGAAGGCCAAGTGTTGACATTGCTATCATGACCCCCACAGAGACAGCCGCATCCTGGGCCCCTGGGCCGTGAGTATGTAGCCTTGACATGCTTGGCAAATGTACTTGCAGAGGTGCCTGAGTTGGGGGCGGTGAGCTAGGGAGGATCTCCTGGATCACACTGGGGGTCCAGCATAACTTCATGAGTCTTTGTCAGCAGACAACTTTTCACATCCGTGACAGGGGAAGATGGGAGAAAGGGCCACAGACTACGGACAGAGTAGCCTGTAGAAAAGGCCTCCCAAGAGGAGTATTTCCCTGTCCACACCTGCATGCAGTCCCATCTCATTTCTGACTGCCAGATCAGCAGGGTGATACTGTCTAAAACCAGTCTCTGTGAGTTGTCACAGCCACAACAGGAAACTAATTTGCAGGGACCCAGCCCTGCCCCAGAAGCCTCCATCAGCAGCCTTACCCTGGTGATGCCCAGTGCCCCGACGTTCTCGCTGTAGGAGGTGGTACCATTCCCGGTCCCCCAGGCCCCTGCCAGCAGGCAGCCAAGGCCCTCGATGCCGATGCCACGGTTGATGGCATGCCTCGGAGGGGGCGGGGCCCCGACCAGCCGAGCGCAGGCATGATAATCGCCCACCGACTCCACCATGGAGGAGATCACTCCAGCAATGATCCCAAAGACTCCAGCCAGGCTGATGGTAGGGAGGCCCCACTGTCCTGCAGAGGGAACCCAAGGGGAACGACTGGGCAGAGGAAGCTGCTAGACCCCAAGTCATTTCAAGCCTGGGAAGCTCTCAATTGCCAGAACTTCAGCAGCTCCTGCCCTCCCTTCTACCCTGAGGTGGAGCAGTAGTCCAGACTCGGAGGTCATAACGCACAGAAAGGTAGAAATGGTGCTTCCTTCAAAGAGAGCCTTGGAGCCGTTGGGAGCTAAAACTCTCCTCTAGAGTGACATCATATATCCACAATCCATGATCCAGACAGGCCATCCTTTAGCCCTGGCTACTTTTATACACTTCAAGGGGAGACTAGAAGTGGTCTAAAGGAAGCTCTGATCTCCCCCAAAATATTCTAACTCAGCCCTAAGCCTCCTTCGTTTGAGGTCCACTGAACCTATCAGGAGATCCAAAGATCTGCCCTCACATATCCCAAGGCCGGGGCTTCTGGATAACATGGAGGAGGGTGAGGGGCTTAGGCTGGCTCTGAAGAAGCTCTTGGAATGAGGGCATTTGGCCTACAACGTGGGCTTAGTGTCTGAATTCCCAGCCTCTCAGGTGGCTGAGGCAGGGGGATCACAAGTTTAAGGCTCTCCCGTCCTTCTGAGTGAGTTCAAGGGCAGCCTAAGCAACTTAGCAGTACTCTAGTTCAAAAGAAAAAGTGAAAAGGGGCTGAAGCTCTATGTCAGCCATACAGCAATTTTGGAGCAAGCATGAAGCCTGGACTCAGTCCCCACTAACACACGTGCACACCTTACAACAACCTGGAACCTCCCTCCTCCTCTCCCTCTCCTCGTAGGAGCCCCCCTGGAGCCCATCTCCCCTTGCAATCCCTCCCCAACCTTTTTCAACCCTCCATCCAGCGCCCTGAATCCCACAGACAGTCCCAGGAAACACCTGTCCCAAGCAATAAGGACACCCATTTCTCCTCACCTGGATAAGGGAAGCGAAACCAAGGGGCCTGGCTCAGCACGCTGCCTTTGGTGTCCGTTCGGGCCATGTAGCCATATGCCATGGGGGACTTGGGGAGGGTGTTGGTGACAGTGAGCACGAAGCAGAAGAGCCAGGAGATGCAGAGGGCCAGCAGCACCTGCCGGAGAGAGCGGCCCTTCACACTCTGCCTCTGTGTGGGTGTGGGTGTGTGGGATGCTCTGAGACCGGGGCGTGCCAGGTTACGGACTCTGCTGCTGACGACAGGAATCTGCTATGCCGCTGGATAAATTAGCAAGAGAGGCAGAAAACTCACTACGGAAAGAGACCTTGGGCAAAGTGGGACAGGAATGTCCACACTGGGCAGAGCCTGTGGCAAAAATCTGGCTCTCACACTACGTGCTTATCTTCATCTGTGCCATGGGGTTAGACCCACACCTCTATCAGAGCCTGAAACGCAGTGGGATCCCAGAACACTCAGTGGACGCTCCCCTGGGGAGACTGTTGGCCGAAGCCCAATGGTGCCACGGGGACTGTTGCTTCTGGGGGTCAGAGAGAAGCTTGTGTGGAAGTACCTTTCTAGAAAGCTCTGGAAAAGGAGGTACCCGTGAATCATGAGAGGTGCGGCTGTCATTCCCAGTACTTGGCTATGCAGGCAGCCAGGAGCGAAAGCTGTTCCATACAGGTGCTGAGTAGGAACCCGAGCCTGTATGCCACCAACCACTAGGGGGCGCCACACAGCCAACCGAGAGTGAAAAGGTGGTGAGGGGTGGTTCTTACAGGAAAGACCTGAAACAGGTTGAGTTTGGAGATGTGACACTTCTTCTTTCTTCCGTACATGGGCACAGGCACCACGACGTTTTTGAGGTACTGAGAAAACAGCACGATGAGGAAGATGGTCCTGAAACAGAAACAAATGACCACGCCTACTTGGTGGGCTGACTTCTTCCTGGTGGGGCCGGGGTACCCTTTCCAGGCTCCAGGAATGGGCCAGGAAGCTGAGCCACCTTGTCCCAGTGGCATCCGTGGCTTCCCTGGTCCCTGTAGGAAGCACAGGCAGAGTCCTGCCATCCCTGAAGAGGAGTCAAGCCCCATTGGGAGATGCTGCTGGCTGAGGGGAAATAGCGGAGGAGGAGACTGTCACTTTCGGGAGTCGGAGAGAAATGATCAGCTGGCAGCAGGATCAAGCCAGCCAGCCGTGAGAGCCACCGAGGCCGGAGTCTGAGATATCTCCCAGGCAGTTCTGCACATCTGATGCCCCTCACGTGTCTCTCAGAGCCCAAGGGGGCACAGTGAATGAGAACGCCACCCCTAAGTTTCAGTGTAAAAGCTGGAGACTTCTTGAGGCTCCTTGACTGTCATCAGCCCCCCACAAACACCCCAGCCCTGCACACATGCAGCACCCTCTGACCCGTGGTTGTCCCCCAGTATTGCAGGGTATTGGCTCTGTCTTCTCTCACAGACTATAAACACCCTTGCGAGCTGGGGCCTTCCTTTGTACCCTTCTCAGCTCAATGAAACCCTAGCTGGCAAGGGACCAGTAGAATCAAGTTTTCATAAACACTACCTGTTCTTATACACTGCTGTGATAAACTGGTTTCGATGAGAATCAATACGGTTAAAATATCGAACAGTCATAACAGATTCTAAGGATCAACTGTTACACCTTTTAAGATAAGACAATGTGGGGCTGGAGAGATGGCTGATCTTCCTGAGGACTCAGGTTCAATTCCCAGCACCCACGTGGCAGCTCACAACTGTCTGTGACTCTAGTTCCAGGGGACCGGACACCTTCACACAGACACACATGCAGGCAAAACACCAATGTACATTAAATAGATAAATAAATATTTTTTAAAAAAAAACAGATATGACAATGCCCATGGAAGTATTTATAAGCCAATATCCTGGATTCCAAAAGTGTTGCGTGGGTAACCTTCTACCAAACAGGACTGAGATGGCCTCCCTTTCTCAGAGAATACTTACAGGGCAGAAATCCCCCAGTGGATACCGGCGTCATTGCCGGCAGATTCAAAGAGAGGCAGGGCCACCAGAGAAATGGTTGGGGCGATGGTCAAGGGGCCGATGTAGCGCATGAGAAAGCCAATGAGACCGGAGAAACCCACCAGCATCTGGACACAGGAGGCCACCATGACAGCGCCCTGCAACTGAAGGAAAGTGTGGGCCTCAGTGGGGACCAGGCTACCCCATAGGGCAGTACTCAGTGGGGACCAGGCTACCCCATAGGGCTGGCTGCAGCAGCCCATGGGCTCCGCTATTACCTCATTACACCTCGGCAGAACTTTCTCAGGCAGTGCAGAGGCCAGACGGGAACCCAAAGGAATGTAAGGGACCGGAGCTGACATTTTCATGTAGCTGCCGCTTCGGGGACATAGTCTTCACAATTACTTGTGGACTGGAGTCGCCGCGCGGAGGAAGACGCCTCACAAGAACAGCAGAGCACTCAGCATCCTGCTTCTCTGTTTTTCTGTCTTTCACTTTCTGCGGCAAGTGCTCGGCACCTTTTCCCACGAACGGCCAGTTAGAGTATTTGAGGCTCCGTGGCCCTACGGGCAGTGTGGCAGTGTTTCCAGGCAGCCGAGAACACATAAGCAAGCCGTGTTCCATCAGAACTTCATTTCCAGGCAGTGACAATGGAGTTTCATATAATTTCGATGTGCCAGGGTATTTTATCCTTCTATGTTTCTAAAAATTAGCACTTAAAACGTAAAAAACCATTCTTAGCTTGTGGGCTGTTGAGGCCGGATTTGGCTCTGTGCCGCCTGATCTAGTGGATTGCATGAGTCTGTCTCTCCTTTTTTGCTTTAACAGGATGATGGTATCTCTTCTCTTTAAAAATATTTTATTTTATTTTGAGACAGGATCTCATGGGTCCAGGCTAGCCTTGAACTCACTATGTAGCTAAAGATGACTTTGAATTTCTGATTCTCTGCCCCGACCTCCAGGGTGTTGGCATTACCTCTGGTTTACAGGCTGCGGAGGCTCACACCCAGGGTTTCATGCGTGCTAAAGCAAACACTCTACCAACTGAGATGCATTTCAATCCCCTAAATTTATTCTTACAGAGTTACTGTTAACTTTCTCAAAGTGAATGAATACATGGCTGTTTTGTTTCACATGTGAAAATACCGTACAGGCTCATGTGTTTGAACACCCGATCCCATGGCTCGCTCTCTCTCTCTCTCTCTCTCTCTCTCTCTCTCTCTCTCTCTCTCTCTCTCTCTTTTCTGCACCCATTTCTTTAGAAACAGAATCTGTTCACTTTTCTTTGACAGTTCCTTCAATCTTAGTGTGTCAGCTTTCCTGTGGCCGCTCTCATCTGTGGCTGGACCTGTGCTGACCATCTTGGGCTTCCGCAACTGAGACAGATGTTCAGTAGACACAGGGATCCACTCCATCTCAAGAGTGAACAAGACAACCAGGCACTCATCAAATGAAGCAAAGAGGTTGGCACGAAAGAGCTTTCTCTGTTAGTCAACACTCTGGAAAACCTTGGCCAGTGGAAGGATCTAATAATGTGACAGACCTGGTTTTGGGGCTCACTGTGCTGAGACTCCTCAGGACAATGTTAGGGAAATGGAAAGTGATGGGCCACCTTGACCCTGGGCCACCAGAACCCGGCCCTAAGCTGTGTTGTACAGTAGGAGTCTGTAGACTCTATCTGTGGATGGCCAAGAAGGAAAATGTTTAGATTGTGAGTGCCATGTGTGGTTTCTGCCTTGTATTTTTTTTCCAAAAAACCTTTTTGAAATAGAAAAGTCATTCTTAGTCCATGGCAATAGAAGAATGGGCCGCAGAGGATGGAGAGATGGTTCAATGGTTAGGGAGCACTTGCTGCTCTTGTAGAAGACCAAGATTTGGTTCCTAGCACCTACATGGTAGCTCACAACCACCTTTAACTCCAGTTCTGGGGGATCTGAGGCCCTCTTCTGGCCTATAAGTCACTGCATGCATGTGGTATGCATACATGCATGGCAGGCAAACACAAATATATATATATCAGGCCATAGATGGGCTTTGGTCCAAGACTCACAGTTTGCTGACTCTGCTTTAGGGCTCCCTGCGTGTCACAAACACAAAAATAAATAGTCGATGCATTAAAGAAAATATGACTGTCTCTTGAATGCTGCCTCCGTGGAGCATGTAAGAGTGTTCTCAAGAAGACCTATGTTCTGTCTCCGTGCTCTCCATCCAGGCAACTCCAAATCCTCTCCCGCCCGTCACCTGTTTTGCTTTCATTTTCTTACTGGAGTGTTTCTCTCTCTCCCTCCCACCATGTGCACACACACACACACACACACACACACACACACACACACACATATCACTGGACTGCCAGCTTCCTGAGGGCAGGCCCCTTGTCTGTTTTGTCTGAGTCAGTGGCTTAAGTAAAACATCTTTCTTACAGGGAGTTGGATAATGATGAGGAAGTGAATCAACCCAGCAGCCCCTCTCCCGTTACCTCTCGGATCCTCTTCTGCCACTCTTCAATGAATTCAGGAGAGCTGGTGTTGACCTGGCTGGCATTGAGAGTCCACTCCGGGCATTTCCAGGCAGGAAGAGAGAGCATGGCCAGAGAGGGTGCCACAAAAGCAAAGGTCCCTCCTTGAAGAATGGGCAGCCTGAAGGAGGGGAAGGATGTCACCACCAAGACCCTCCCACACTGCCCTGTTGCAAGCCCCAAAGGGCCTTTTGAGCCCAATTCCTAGCTCAGTGGCAACACATGGCCCCTGCTCCTTCAGTTGCAAGGAACTCTGCTGAGTTCTGAGGAGAGGCCATGAAGCCTCTGTGACTTTGGACAAGATGTAACACCAGGAGGAGGGCTCAGGCTCTGAGGCACCGTGTGAAGCCGGCAGGGGACTTAGAGAACACAGTATCTCTCCACCCCAGGCCCAGAGCATCCCCTGCTAACCCCAGCACAGGTCACACCATGCAGTTCTCCATCTCAGGCCCCCAACACATCATCCCCACACTGGTGAGATGTGTGCAGCCTCAAAACTAGGTTGCTGGATTCCACTGTGCTCCTGTGAGCCAAGGGCAACCTTAGGCCTCTGCCCTCAAGTTCCATATCACAATAGGTAGATGTATGACCTCCAGACCTGTCTGACTCCTGGAAGGCTTCTCCCTCTGATGCCTGTGACAACTAGCATGGCTTAGTCAGTCTGCAGAGAAACCCATGCAGTAGGCAGCCCCCACAACTCGCTCACTAGCAGGCCAGGCTTACCCACCTCTTCATCATCCCTGAACATTGGAATCTGGGGGGCACAAAGGGCTCCCCCAACTTGGATGCAGCTGTCACTGTGACCTACTGAATCTGGGCACTTTTGTGGGGGTAGGTACAGATGTGGGGGGGGGCACAGGTACATGTCTGTGTGTGCGGAAGCCAGAGGACCATCCTGAGTGTGGTTCCTTAGGCACTATGTACCTCTCTCTGTCTCCTTGACTCTGGAATTACAGTTGATGGTTTTTGTTTGTTTGTTTATGTGGGTTCTGGAAAGCAAACTCAGTTTCCGCAATTCTTGCAAAGCAAACAGACCCACTGTGGCTCTTCACCTTTGGGCAGGGCAACATGCAGCTGAAGCCTAGACTCAAAAATCTAGCCATGAAGTTCCAAAGTAAAATAGATGGAATGGTGCAGAGAGGGTTGAAACACATGGATGGTGTGTTAATGTATGTGCGTGAATGCAGGTGTGTAACTGCCTTCATTTTAGAATCCTAAGCTAAGCATCAGGACAGGAAGGGGACAGCATGGTGCGCATTGTTGTGTGGAGGGCAATCATAGCGTACATGGCACAAGATACAGAACTCATAGTTCATTATTAGCCATAATCTCGCACACCTGATCCATTCATCAAATGCTCACTGAGTGGAGGGAGAGGCAACGCCCACTTGGACAGTCATCCATCCTTATCCACGGTTTTGTTTACAATGGTTTCAGTTACATGTGGTCAAATGTACTCTGAAAACAGTAATATTTGTCTCAAGTCTTTCAAAAGAGATCATTATCATGATAAGGCATCATAATTATTATCATAATTCTATTTTATCACTGGATATTTATTATATTAATCACCTACTGTGCCTAGTCATAAATCAGACTCCATCACTGGTAAACATGTATAGGAAAGAACATATCATTTCAGAGTTCAGTATTAAGTGCAGTTCCAAGTGTCCACTGGGGTTTTGTAACTCATCCCTTCAGACCAAGAGGAGCCCACACTTCTCTTGCTTCCGTTCTCTGAGTGTATGTAGCCCTGACCCCGCAGAGTGATGATTCATAAGAACTTGCCCTCTCTGGTCCTCATAAACACTCTAATTACGGTTAGAAACCACACCATGGCAGTGGGTCCCTGGGTTCCGGCCATTTCATTATCACCAGGACCCAGGAGAGCAGGAATCCTTCCAGTGCTGAAACCGCCACCACCAAAAACCTGCGGACACTTTAAAAGACCGTTTTGGTTTCTTCTCATTTTGTAGATGTGTCATAAAGCTTGCACAAATGTCCGCTGGGTATTTCATTGGGCCGTTGAAGATATGCCTTCGTTGGTGTAATTTTATGGCTGTTTTTACTACCTATAAACTCATTGCAGAATTCTGATATTGTCTAATGATTCTTGCTGAAGAATGGTGAATTTACTTTTTCACATTTTATTTGTTTGTGTGTGTGCACCCATGTGTGTGGTGGCCAGTTAACAAGAGCAGAAGTGACTCTCTCCTTCTACCCTGTGGGTCCTGGGGACCAAACTCGGGTCATCAGGCTTGGTAGGCAAGTGCCTTTAGCCACTGAGCCATTTTGCTGGCCCTAGTTTTAATTTTTAAAAAGTCTTTTCTGGGCTAGAAAGATAGCTCAGTGGTTACAGGCACCTGCTACTCTTCCAGAGGACCCAAATTTAGTTCCCACACCCATGTAGGGTGGCTCACATTGCCTGTAGTGTCTACCTACTCTGAGGACAGTGCTGGTGTTTGTAGGCTAACTTCTGATGTGCTTCTGTCTGTGTAAGGGTGTTGGGTCCTCTGGAGCTGGAGTTACAGACAGTTGTGAGCTGCCATATGGGTGCTGAGAATTGAACCCAGGTCCTCTGGAAGAGCAGCTAGTGTCCTTAACCACTGAGCCATCTCTCCAGCCCCAAAAATAAACATTTTAAAGAATGGAAGATATTTAAGATCCCATTTATTTCCTCACCTGAATTTGAATAAAAACTTGTCTCTAGAAGAGATAATGGCGACAATCCAGGGTTTAGCCTCCATCCCTCAAAGGGCTAGTTAACCTGTCTTATAGCTAAATCAACATATGTTCTAATCTTTGCGTGACGGGAAGAAAACCCTCTCCCTGGGTTGGCCAATGTGTAAATAAATTAAATTTCCTCTATCAGTTTCTGTTCCCTTGTGCCTTTGGAATACAGGATGCTGAGGGGGCAGGTTTGTGAGTATCCTGCCATACTCACCATGGCATCTACCATGCCAGAAACATGAATATAAGTACGCTTTTCAGTGTTAGAGTTACAGGTATGCACCTAGGGACTGAACCGAGGGCTCCCAGAATGCTATCCAGGCACTTCACCAGTTGAGCGACATTCCCAGCCCCCTACCATTGCTCAAGTGCTCAAGTGCCATACCCTCTGTGTTCCTAAGCAAAGTCAACTATGTTCTTCTCTTGCTACAGCATCCCTTAAAATATCACAGTATTATGCTTACTACACAGCCTGCAATTATTTATCCATATATTTGATTCTCTTTTAAAAAATATCTATATGTATGTGTGCCTGTGTGAGGGTATACGTCCACGAGTGCAGCGCCCATGGAGGCCAGAAAATGGTGTCAGGTGTCCTAGAACTGGGGTTACAGGCAATTGTGACTTGACTGATATGTTGGGAACTGAACTCAGGACCTCTGCAAGAACAGTATTCATTCTTAACTGCTGAGTCGTCTCTCCAACTCCCAATTCCTCTTTTGAGACCCTCATCTCCTTGAGAGGAAGAATCATAAATAAGTCCCGGCACCTATTAATGACAGACAGCCATGAGGCAAAGGACTAAAGACAACTAGTTACACTGGCTTCAGGATTCACCCAAGGGAGCTACAGCAGCAAGGTTGAAAATCGTGCCGACAGGAGACTGATCCAGTGGAGACCTTCCAGTCACTGAAGATTCAGGGCTTCCTTGACCAACAAGTCCTTCTCTTAGAAGATATGACACCACCACCACCCCGCCCGGCTTCGGATGCTCCCAAGATGGAAGGTCTGTGAGCATTGTCGGCCTTTCCCAACGACTTACTTCTGTGGAAGCTGACATGACTCACTGCGTAGACCAAACGTTGGCACTCCCCCTAATTTAAATTTGTTCCATCCTTAGCCTCAATCTGATGGTATCGAGAGACGAGGCCTCGGGGAAGGAATGGGGTTTAAATGAAGTCATGCAGATGAGGTCCCCCAAGAAAGGATTAGTATCTTTATGAGGAGAATTGGCAAGATGAGAGCTTTTCCACTACATGGGAATCCAACAGAAAAGATGCCACCTGGAAGCCAGAAGAGGGGCCTCACCAGAGCTGAAGAATGCATGCACCCTGTTCTCAGATGTCCAGGCCAGAACCATGAGAAAAGCACGGTTCTGTTGGGTGGACTGAAGTGTCCAGGGGACGGGAAAGTCATACATGTAAAGATGTTCTAAGACTGATTAACTGGTTCAAACCTCCTGGTTGTCAGGGCTGGGGAGATGGTTCAGCAGGAAAAGGCATTGCTACCCAATCTTGTAAGCCTGAAAACCCGAGTTTGATCCCAGGAGCTCACAGAAAGTGGAGGGGCAGATGATGTAACTCCACCAAGTTGTCCTCTGACCTCCACACATATTCCCTAATCAGCAACAATCATAAAATTGAGTGAGTACGTGCAGTACTACGTTCCGATAGAAATGATCTTGGGCTGTCTTTACACTACATAGTAGTCACCCATTGCTCACCCTGTGTCTCACTCAGCATCCTTGTGCCTGTCAGGTAAAACTTTAGGGACTGTGTCAACTTATCAAAGCACCAGCTGTCACCATCCAAACGTCAAGAATGTCATCAGAAAGGCTCTGAAGCCACAGCAGAGACTTCCTGGCCTCTCTGCACCCTGCCTACCTGATGTTTCCACCAGCGTGTTTGAAAGCCCCTTGGCTAACAACTTTCTTTTGTTGTGTAACTATAAAAACTTCATGAAGCCGTTTCCACATTAGAGTGTTATTCTGGGCAACTGAAATTCTCATTCCTGGGCAACGGATGATTGACCATTTCGGTCGAAAATAAATTCTCTTCTTCCCTTTGAGTTCTGTGCTGGCAAGGGTTGAACTGCTTGGTCTGTGGTATTTTGCTATGGCAGCCAGAGCAGACTGGGGCACTTAGGAACAAGATTCAACGGAAAACAACTGAGTCACCTCATCTCTTTGTACTTAAGTTTACCTTTCTATACAATAAGACTAACACACTCGCTTCAAGTGGTGCAGGGGAAATTATGTGTTTGTAGACCATATTGCACATGCTGTTAATAATGACTAATAATAAATAAATCATGACTGTTATTTTCACATGGGAGAGGAACAAATCAGGTCTTGGGTGGGCCCAGGGCCTGCCGCTAGTGTTCAGGCTGCAT